TGTACACCGAGCAGCAAAAAGTTATTAATCAGGTAAGTCGTGCAAAAATTTAGTCATCTTTTGAAGAAATTCATGGAATGATGCTAAATTAAGAACTCCGCCTACTCGTCAGATCAAAATAGAAAGATGATATGCATGATAAAATGTTATCAATATCCATTTAGCCTTTTTTTTTTGATTTTAAAATTGTAATATTAATGGAATGTTACAATAAATTTCATTTTGAATCATTTCATTTATATTTTTTAAATGTTCCTTTATTAACAAAGCATTCATTATAATATTTCAATTCATTTTAAATTATTCGATTGCATAGATTTGCTATGAAGAAGGAAATGCCTTTTTTTGTGTGTGTGCAAGAATTAGTGGAAAGAAATGATTAATGACAGTTTCGGTTTTTTTCTATTGATTTAGCCTCAATGCAAAAACATTCAAATTTCTATTTCCTTAACCATTGTTGACCATTACATATAAAATTTTGATAAACATTGTAATCCTTATGAAATTAATCATTGGATTATAAAATTTGACAGACTTTGTAATCCAACGAACAATTTCATAAGTTATATTAATTCCATTTGATATTATTTTTAAAAAGTAAGAAGCTATGTGAATTTCTTTCAATTCTATTCTTCATTCCTTTTATTATCGTTATGATTTCTCTTCTTGTGATACGGTAACAATATTGGAAACTTATTTCGAAAAAATATAAACTTCTCTTAAGTTATGTGAAATATATTTCGTTTTTTTAAATTTCAATTTTGTAATCTGATTTAATGTTAAGGTTTGAATAATCATTATTTAATTTCGTTGTTGTTAATTTTTCAAATCATTTCATGGAAATCGGGAAAAGTTTTTTTTTACTAATAAACATTCAGGTTATGCATATGTCATAATTTTTAATGCAAAATTGCAAAACTGTTAAATCAGAAAAAGTGGAGGAAATGTTAGCTCAATAAATTCAACTATATTACACTTTTAAAACTATATATTAATTAACAAATTTGATATCCAAGAAATTATTCCAGAATTCATTTGTAAAATGAAATGGGAATATATATGGATGAGATGAGAACTTCATGTTTTTCAATCATTTCAATTCTAATCTTTTCCTTATAAAATTTCAAATTTAAAATCCAACTTTAAAGTAACATTCGAAAGTGAAATTTCGATTCAAAGTTTAAATATCATGTTTTAATTTTTACTGAATTAATTGGTATCCATCACTGATATAACTAACAAAACATGACAGGTATCATTATTTTTCACATTTTTTTCGAAAATTTTTTTGGATAAATGATGAATTAAATTTACGATCAGATCATTTATTAATTCAGTGATAATATAATGAAATAATTAATTAAGAAAAAGAAATTGCATTATTTGCTAAATTGATTAGATAACAATGATAAGTTAATTAAATGATTATGCAATCTTAAACTAAACTTATATTTTTTCAAATTCGTTTCTATATTTTACTTAATTACTTATTTGTCATAATTTCCTTCCTATTAATTCGTTAAATTTTGTCAGGTAATCAATAATTTCATGAAGTTTTTTCACTCTCTCTCTCTTTCTCTCTCTGTACCCCTGAAAAGAAATGAAAAATATCACAATTTTTGACAATTTTCGATGATTTCTACAACTGGAATTCAGGGAAAAAGTCTTTCCATTCTTTGATATATTGTTTATTTTGTTGTTTACCTTTTTCTTTCTTTTTTTATAAACAAAATAAATTATTTTTCTTTTTTTAAAAGCAACATTTATTAATTTTGAGCTGTCAACAAAGCAAAACAAATCTTTTTTTCCTTTATTCCCAAAAAGAATAAAATAAATTAATAAATAATAAAATTTAAGAGAGAAAGCTTCCATTGTTATGAAAAACTAATATTAGAATTAATGAAGAAACTCGGGAAATGCGGGAAATTTTGAATTGGTAGAATATAGCAATGAAGCAAAAACTATATATTGGTATTTTTTGAAGAAGAAGGTTCAATTGAATAAAGAAGTCATTATTCATCAGAACTTCAAGCAATGTTAGCTTTCAAACAGTGGTAATAGTGATTCGGAAAGACGATATTTCCATGAATCAACAATATAATTCATTAATGCCAAGGGAGCAATGGTCCTCCTCGGCCGATTTCATAATGTCCTGTATCGGATATGCCATTGGTCTTGGTAATGTTTGGCGATTCCCCTATTTATGCTATCAAAATGGTGGAGGTTTGTTGCTTTTCCGGTATATTATTATACCAAAATTTCATCATTACATTTCACTATTGGAAATCGAAAATTATAAAATTCATTGAGAATTTTGATTACTGAAAAAATTTTGTTTGGCTTTACTTATTGCCAGTTAAATAAAAAAACAAACAAGTGATAAATAAAGTGTCGATGAATTTAAAGATAAAAGATATTTATTCATATCAATTTAAAGATATAAGATATTTATTCATTCATCATACTGATAAGCTTAAAATAATCCATAACAATCACAATTGCTTACCAAGAACATAACCAATTCCATTTTTTCTTTTATTTTAATCTTTGCAGGAGCATTTTTAATACCCTATGTGATATCTCTGATATTTTGTGGTGCACCACTTTTTATATTGGAGACAACATGGGGTCAGCTATTGAGCATTGGTGGACTTGGGATGTTTAAAATTTGTCCGATTTTCAAAGTAATAATTTCATCTTTAATGAATTTAGATTTATTCTTCAAATTTTAATTTCTTTTTATTATCATCAAATTTTATAGGGTGTTGGAATAGCAGCTGCAGTGATGGCATTTTGGCTTAACATTTATTACATTGTAGTACTAAGTTGGGCAATGTGCTATCTGTGGGAATCGATTCGATTGGATGCAAATGTCCCATGGCGAAATTGTGATCATCAGTAAATTAAATTGATAAAATTTAAAATTTTTCTTAGATTTTTTACTTTGAAAATCCTTAATATTTAATAATAAAAATTAGCAAAATTTCTTTTTTCTAATTTATAATATAAAATATTTTATATAAAAAATGTTAAAATAATAAAGTTAATTGAAAAATTTAATTATTTGATCATTAATGAAAATTTGATAAATTTTTGAATAATTTAATTAATAATTAGGAATTAATAAAAGTGAGGAATAATTTGCAGATGGAACACTCCCCGATGTCGCAGTGAATACGAACCATTAAATTGTGATAAAAACAAAACAATTGCGCAGTATTTCAATGTGCAGGTTCAATAAAAACCATTCCTTTTTCTCTCTACTACTTTCTATTAATTTTAAAACTTTTGGGCTAAATGGTTGTCAACAGATATTCCTATCAAAGAAAAGAAAATGAAAACAAAAATGGATATCCTAAGAAAATATTTGATGAAAAAGAAGAAATTTTTTCAAAAATTCAATTGTGGAAAATTTGACAAATAAATAAGAGTGAAGTAAAATGTTAACATTTAAGGTATTAACAAATGAACATTTAAACGAATATCGTAAACAATTCTTCGTTGGTCCAAAATCAAATTGGACAATTTGTAGTAGTGATGATTTGGATACACAATCACCTGTCAAAGAATATTGGAAGTTTGTAAACAATTCTCAAAAATTAAAATAAATGAGTTTCTTTTTTTTTAATACAAAATTGCTCATATTAAGCTTCATTTCAAAAAAGAAGTCTTTGATTAAAATAATATTTTAGTTATCAAGTACTTGGTATCAGTTCGGGAATTGAGGAACCTGGAGGATTACGTTGGGATCTCGCTTTCTTTTTACTAATCGCTTGGACAATATGCTATCTGTGTATTTTTAAAGGTGTTCGATGGACTGGAAAGGTTAATCAGATCAAATTAAAATTTGAGATTTTTTTTTCCAAAGTAGTAATCAGTTATCTTACTACATTACTAAACTTCTATTAAATAGGATATAAGTAATGATGAATGTATTATAAATAGTTTACGAAAAATATTTTTGAAGCAGATTACCTTATTTTTTAACGACAGACACAGTGAGAAATCTAATTTATTATTGATATATGATAAATGATAGGTTATCAATATTGGTAGTTGCAGATCGTTTATCTCACTGCATCATTTCCATATCTAATGCTTGTTTGCTTGCTGATACGTGGATTAACATTACCAGGCGCAAGTTTGGGACTTGAATTCTACCTGAAACCAGATTTTGAGAAGCTTCTAGAGAGTAAAGTATGGGTGGATGCTGTCACACAAGTTTTCTTTTCATATGGCCTTGGTCTAGGCGCTCTTGTTGCACTCGGTAGTTACAATTCGTATCATAATAACATCTACAGGTATACAATCTTTTTTTATTGTACCATTGCCGTTAAATTATCATTTCTATCACTTCTTAAGTTTCATTAAATTTTAATTAAATATTTACAGGCAGGCATTAACAATTTGCTTTGTAAATAGTGCTACAAGCGTTTTTGCTGGCTTCGTTATCTTTTCATTTATTGGCTTTATGGCTGTTGAACAAGGCAAACCCGTTAACGAGGCAAATATTCAAATCTTATTTCATTTGTCAAATTCAGTGAAATCTCACTAATTCAAATTTTTGTTTACAATAATTAAATAAATGATAGACTATGAATAAGATTTTTATCAAAAAATTTGTAATGAATTTTAATAAGTTTATACCTTACATTAATCAAAGTTTCAATTGAACTTAGGTTTCTATTAAGTTTAAAACTTAAACTTAATAGTATTTTGTGAAATTTTTGTTGGGCAGAAATGCTTTTAGGTAGCACAATCTGGTCCAGGTCTCCTTTTTCTGGCTTATCCATCCGGAATCCTACAACTACCATATACAAATGTTTGGTCAATTCTCTTCTTTACAATGGTTTTATTCTTGGGCATTGATTCACAAGAAAGTTTTTATAACATTTTTAATTCAATTTAAACTTAATTGCTATTGTTTTAAAAATTAAATCATTTACAAAAGAGCTGCTTTTTCATTTCTATTTTGTTTCACATAAAATTTGTTAAATTTGCTCATGGAAGAGATAATTAATGAGCTCATTAATATTTCAGTATGCAATATTTTTTACCAAATTTTATTTGAAATTATTTTACACTGAATCATCTAATTTATTTGTTTGAATTTCGAAAAAGAAAAACTTATCATAAGCACACAAAGAGTGGTGCATTATCACATGACTGTTTATTAGGTGTTTTCTTTTTCTGATAATTTCCAAAATGTAAGAGAAATGTTCAATAGCACAAATGTCATAACAATACATATATGAAAAGTAATTTGATCACATTTAGTTTTGTACAATGGAGGGCTTTTTCACAGCAGTTATTGATGAATTTCCGCATATGATACATGGCAAGAAGTATGGTCGTGAATTCTTCGTACTTGCAGTATGTATTATAAGCTACTTATGTGGCTTGAGTACTGTTACAAAAGTAAGTATTGTTACTTAAGTACTGTTACAAAGGTTGAAAAATTCGGAAAATTTTGCATTAGCAAAAAGGAAATGTATAAATTTACCTGTTCTTTCACAAATTATATATAAAAGCAAAGATTGGACTTTTCTATTTTTGTTTTTTCCGATAAAATTCTTTTAGAAACAAAAGAAAAAAGTGTTAAAAAATATTGATAAGAAAGAGATCAATATTGATTACTTGCAATTATTTGAATATTTCATAAAAGTAAAATTAAATTATCAGATTGAATTGAAGGAGAAAAAATCTTTAATATCGAAATAAGCAAATAAAACTTTTCATACTATTATTTACTTGTTGAAAATTTACAATAGATAGAGATATATATAGCAGGATTTTAAAAATTACATCAAAAATTTCAGGGTGGTTTTTACGTATTCCAGTTGTTTGATTTTTATGCAGCATCCGGTTGGGCACTTCTATGGCTTCTATTTTTTGAATGTATCGCCATTTCCTGGTCTGTTGGTATGTGAATGATTAACTTAGTGAATGAAGTTAATCTTACTAATGAATAAATTTGGCCAATATATTTTTAGTAGGTTATGGATAAAATAATTCTAATGCTAAGGATGCATTAGATAGAAAATTGAAAATTAAACTTCGGTATTTTATAATTTATGGCTTACTTAATTTTAAACCTAAGAGTTCTAATTTCTTTGAAAAGCAATAAATCAATTTCCTATATTTTCCATCTCAATCTCTCATATCTCTTCACATAATCATCAAGAAATCATAGAATCATTCTATTATTAGGTAAATATTAGAAGTATTGAGAATGTGAAAATGGAAAATTAAATTCATGAAGTATTCTATCATTATTTGCCTAAGCTATCATTAATTTTAGGCATCAATCAATGGTATGAGCATATCAAATCAATGGTGGGTTATTATCCGAGTCGATGGTGGAAATTTTGTTGGGTTTTTGCAACTCCTGTTGTGTGTATGGTTAGTAATACCCTAAGATTCTACCAACAAAGATTTAAATTTTAATTTAAATATCTTAAATTTTATGAATCAAATGATCTATTAAAATTTGGGCACTTTTTTTAATTCTTTATATATATGTATATATTTTTCTTCTTCTTTATTTAATGAAGGAATAATCGAAATTCTTAAACCAAAGAAGCGTTGTCTTGTTCGGTTTCCATAATTCAACATTTATAAAGCGCAACGTGTTAAGCGGTAACTGTCAAAATCGTTATACTCAGTTTAGATTTACATCTTTTATCTCATGTCATTGTTTGATCAAATCGCCTTTTTTTCCCTTAATTTCGAAACTATTAAATCATAGCATTGATATTTAATTTTAAAACTATATCAGTTGCAGAGTGTAATGCTTTTTGGACTAGCAAAATATCAGCCATTGCGAATCGATGCATACAATTATGATTACCCATTATGGGGTCATATACTTGGATGGTTTCTTTCTCTTTCATCAATGCTTTGCATTCCAGTTTATGGAGTCTATTTATGGATTATCACCGATGGAACAACTTCACAAGTATATTTTATCATATATTTATTAAGAATTACATTTGCTAATTTTATCTAATTTTATTACACTGTTTTATTTTTCTGAGACAGTAATGAATTGCTTAAAATTTCATATATATGATATGAACATATATGATATGTGAACATATATGATTGCTAAAACTTATTAGGCTACTTTATCCGATGATTTTTGATCTATAATCTACTATCATTATTTCATTATTATGTTAATTTTTTTATCAGAATTTATCAAAACTTATAATATGAGCATTATCAGTGTATAAATAATTTGTCACGAAAGATGAAACAACTTAACATCTATTTTATTATTATTATAATGATATTAGTTTGTTGCAGAGAGTTGAAAAACTATTTCGGCCAAAAATACAAATTGAATTAGATGGTAATGATGGACATGAACTAATGGAACGAGGAGAATAATTCTTATTCGTGAATAACTGATAAATATCATTTTCATCTTTTTGAAAAAGAAAAAGAAACTTTTACTTCACTTTCAAATTATTGTTGTAATTTTTTTATCAATTTAAAACGAAATTATCACTTAAAGCTTTCATTTACGTAAGGATAGTTAGTAATTCTATCCTAAAATATTAAGAGATTGTCAACAATGTAAAAAGTTTAGAACGAAAAATAAATAAATTCGATAGAAAAAATAGACGGAGAAAATATTCCTGAAATGTAGTAAACGTATCGTCTAAATTTATTATCAATCGATTGACTTGACTGTTTAATTTTTGCGAAAATAGCCCTTATCTAAGCAAATTTCTCAAAAGAACTAATATCACGAACAAATATTAAGTAAATATTTTCTTCCACAAAATTTAATTTCGATACTTCACGGAATATCAGTTTTTTTCAAAAGACGATGGAATAATATATATATATATATATTGAATGTGTAAAATAGACTAAGATGATACTACTGATATATTGACGAATTCTAAGGCTATACGAACTGATTATTAATTAATTGTCTAGCCAATATCATCATTAATTTTATCTGATAAGTTAATTAATTCTTTACTTAAATTACACTTTAAAAAGTGTAATTTTAGTAAACAATTAATTAGCTGCCAAAAATTATCATTGATCAAAAAATAAAAAAAAAAGAACGATATCGACGTTATGTACATTGTTCGTACAAGAAGTATAAAATTTTTAACGATGTAAATTGAATAGTTGCAATATTTTGTTGAAGGCATGTAATGAATTCATGGAAATATAAAGTGAAATGATGGGAAAACCTGAATGATTCCATTTCCGGATAAATTTTTGAATGATAAATAAATAGAGAGATCTTCTCGTGTAAAAGATTAACCGCTCAGTTGCTTAATTTCAGAGAGTTAATTTAGATTTTATTTCAAATTCTTCCTTATTCATAATTTTCTAGATATGAAAAACTTCATTGGTATTTTTGATGAAAAATGTTAAAGTAACAAAATTTCATTTCATGCACTAAAATTTCCATTCGATAATCTTTCGACCATTGCTTATTCGAATTCTTATTGATTGAAATTGAATTTATGTCAACTATTCAAATTTAAATATTATAAAATTTAAATTTTTACCTTCCTTTTCATTAGTAAATCATATGACATCTCTTTTGCTTATCATTCATTAGTAGTTAAGAATTTCTCGGTGATTTGAAAAGTTATGTTATAAGATTACTGATATTGTTGCTTAACAAATATCAATGGTAAGCTCATGAAAATATGAAACGAAACAAAGCATGTGAATTTAATTAGAATACTATTTTTTTGCTTTAGAATCACTTTTTTGGCGAATAACGGCTGCTCACTCTTTGAAAAGTAAAATTTTGGCCAAATTAGAAATTTGTAAGATTTGAATAAAAAAGAATAAAATTTCGTTAGGAGAGAATTTTATTCCTACAGATCTGTTAAGATGCAATAAGATTATTGGACTATTATTAAAGCTATATTCATATATTTTTTACAAACGATTATTGCTCATAAAAATTTCAAATTTTAAAACAGAACACTATTCCGGCTTATAATGATAAAATTAATTGGAAATTTAATTAGTATTTAATTAGAAGATTTCGAAATACATTAAACAAGCATTTTCATTCGGAAAGATTATTTGTATTAGTTAAGTCAATCAATGATTTTGTTTAGTTTATTCTTTCACTTACCTGTACGATATAACAAATTGTTTATATTCTACGTTGAAATAAAGAATTAGGTTAAATTTTTCAATAGATCTGATCTTATGTAAATTTAGAAACTTAGAAGGCTATCTTCGAATTTTAGTATAAATTACCTTTTTTTGATTTTGTGATAAAAAGCGAAGAAAATCAGATGAAGAAATATTTTTTAATTTTCGTACTTCTATACATTTTATTTTCAACAAAAGATTCCTCGAAAATCCACAATATCGGATTAATTTTTCTTCAACAATTTTTTTTAATTTCTATTTTTCTTTTGTTCTTTTTTTTTTGAATATTAATTACTATTCCTTTCTAATTTAATTCCATTTCAAATTCCAATCATCGAATATTCAATTTGATATAAGTATTGTCTACGATTTTCTTTTTCGGAATAAATCATTGAAAAATTTTGTTTTAGCAAAAAAAAAAAGAATTTGTTGAAATTCGAAACATTTCGAAGTTTTTCAAATAAAATGGATATTGTTGACGATTGATTTGAATGACTTCTACAAATTAATTTTTATGATTAGCGATGGTTATTACATATATAGAAGGAATGGATATTGCGCCGATAAATTGAGCAATAAACTTTATATGAAGTAGTTATGTAAAAAGAAATCTTTTTAAATATTAATAATGACATGCGCTGTCAGCATGCTTGATAATAAATTAAAATAGTTATATTTTCAGCAATAACAAACATCATTTTTAACTTTTTATTTTTACTTCTTTTAGCATATTTCTATTAATGAATTTGAAATTTTGAAAAATTTAGAACTTATTGAAATTTTATGAGAGTTTCATAGGGCTTTCATATAAATGTATTGAGCTGTCAATATGCTAATTAATATTGTTTTAAGAGTGTTAGTTGATTTAGAAAATAGTAAAAAGATAAAAATTATTAAAAAAAATATATATATATTATAAAACAAATAATCTTTCAAATTATTGTATGAATAAATTTTACAACAAAATGCTAAACTTTTGCTATAAAATAATTAAAATTTAGTAAAAGCTTTCTTTTCCTCTTTTATTATCGAGATGCTATTGAAATGCTACTAAATGATTGAAATACATTTATTTCAATTATCATTCATTTCGATTAATTATCATTCATTTCGATTATCATCTATTTCGATTAATTATTATCTATTTCAATTATCATTCATTTCGATTATCATTTATTTCAATTATCACTTATTTCAACTACCACTAATTTCTTTAGTCAAAAATAGCAAATATATTTGATGCATCAACATAATTAATGTAGTGAATTACATATAAATGAACTTATTGAACTTCAAATATATTTAAATTGTTTTATAATTAAATGAACATTCGATGATTGCTTTTTTGCAGAATTCATTTTGTAATTTTCTTATCTTACCTTTGTTGTACAAAAAGATTATATTAATGACAGATTATTTATTATTGATTGATTACATTTCGTTTGATTGAACGAAAAGATGAAAATTTTATAGTATAAAAAGATCATTTTTGAAATATTATAAAATTTAGAAAATTATTTATATAAAATAATAATTTCATAAAAATTTCCTTTTTATTAATTTATTTCAAAAATAAAAGAAATTAAAATTTTTTCAAATAAAAAAATTTAAAATGAAATTTTAATTTCTAATAAAATATCATATTAATTCATGCAATTTTAATCATATCAAATTGAATTCTAATCAATAACATAAAAGGAAGAAAATGAAAGAACAAAAATTAGAAAGTAAAAAATTTCCTAAATGATATTTTACAATTAATAAATGCATTAACTAATAACTATGCTTATATTTATTTAATTTGTATACATAATTCATTCAAGCATAATAAGGTGAGAGGGTATTGTGAATATATAGCTTTTTAGGAGAATTAGAGATTGATAAAGTTTTGAAAATATTATCATTATAGAATGAACAAAAGCATATATTATTATAGGAAGTTAAGAAAATAACATAAAGAATTACAAAATGGTATTTTTTTTTCCTTTCTTTTAGAATGATAATGAGAATGATCAATTATTATCAGAATTTACAACCCTTAGCATTAGTGATAATTAAGATAATTAATAAGCAAACACAAAATAAACAATACCAATTTTTCTTCATCTGTTCACCGGTTTCTTCATCTCTTCACCTGTCATCTATTATACATTCATGCAAATTCTGCAATTTTCGACTACATTAATTTATTATTTCAATTGTTTTTATAGCAATTAGCAAATTTCATTAATTTTTTTTCAACATTTTTGCATTGATGATGTTTTTGTTTGGATATAGTCGATCGTTGTTATGATCCCATTGAAAATCGAAAATGTTCAAGCTAAAAAGAATTTCCGAAAAATGAACTGAATTAACTAATTTTTTTCTACTACAAATAAACAATAATTACTCATTAAAACTTCAAATGAAATTGTCAAATTAAATTATTTGTCAATTGAAATTATCTGATGAATGGAACAGAATAATTTTCGTTATGAATCTAACAGAAGCATTCCGTTTAAGAATTCGAAAATTTATATCGCTAAAGTTAAGCAATAATTAACTGCTGCTTATTTCTTCACTTATCATAAGATGCTCTAATCAAACTTATTGAAAAGTTAGCTGAAGCAATAAGAATTTGTTGATGTCAGCACAACACTTTGTACATCGTTTCTAAATTCTTCTACAGTAATTAAAGTTCAGGATACCTTAATTTTAACAGTGGTATAGAGTAATGTTATTATTAAAATCAAAGATAATAGTAATTCTGTACTTGTTATATTCCCTGAATGAAGGCCATTTCTGAAGTTGTTCCGGTTGATCCAGTTAGTTGTACTTTCAGTGAGCTGATAATTAGAAATTTTATGGTTTTTTAATCAAAAATCTTTCGTTGTGTAATCCGGAATAAATGATATAAAAAACACCCTTGTGTTGGATACTATTGATAACTTACCAAGATTCATTAACAAGCTCACCTCATTTACTGCATCTGACCTTTGCCCTGTTTAATTTATTGTCTCATTTAATTATTACTGTTTGTTTCCGATCTATCTGAATTACCTCTCCGTGATATTGATATTGTTGCGCTTACTGGTTCAAATTTTTCGTTATTTTTAGCATCCTCTTCATCATTCTCGTCAAAAATATAAATGATAATACGCATATTATTTTTGCCCTACACAATTTCTGATAAATCAATTGGCAAGTTGATTTTGATTCTATCCTAAATTTCATATTTATTTTGAAACATCCTATATTTACTATCGTTATTCGTTATATTATTCCACTGAATTTTGGATGCAATTGTTGAATGAAATGGAAAGTTTTTATTGAAATATTTATAAAGGATATAATGAATTATTTGGAGTTTTTTACTTCCGATAATTTCACATTATTTTCTTGAAATGGTCATATTCGATATAATTTAGGTTTGATACTTTTTTGAAATATCGCCTATGCATTTTGCTCTTTTTGATGATCGACAAACTATCAAGTTTTATCGATCATCAAAAGGTGAAAACATTCAGTTGCTTCAAAGACGAAAATTAAGGAGATGGAAATTCGAACTTTCAAATATTTTAAACACATACTGTTAAAAGGAAAAGACAATGTGCTTATTTAGTGGTATACTTTTTTGGATTGTGATGGAAGATATCAGTGAAACATAACTATATATAATCATTTTTAAACTTAGCTTATTAATAGTCAGTCACCTTCAATACATTTTTTCGTTCAGTACATTGTAGTAATGAATAAAATTTGTATATATTAATGAGGCATTCTTTCTCTCATCAGCTATAATCCAAGCAATCAACTACAGCTATTAATTTAAAATAAAGGTTCAAATTACTAACAGTAAAAGATTAAATGAACTATTCGAAAGAGGGAGTATCAACGTGAAAGTTCATTATCATCTGTAGTCACAACAGAATTCCAGAAATTCGTTTCACTGAATGATCATATGAGAATAAGATAGGTTAATATACGATGATAGGATAATCAACCATGCAACCGTCTAAATAATCAAAAATATTAAAATGCAGAAATCAGAAAAGTAAAATACTGAACTTTGTTTGATGACTGAAAGCAAAAAAAGATAGTAATGACAGCTGAATGTTGCACAAATGTCATTGTTTGTCAGGAAAATGAAATGAATGAGTTGATTATCAATGTTACAAATGATTTGAAAGAGAAAGAGAAGCCACAAATTCATCATAATAAAAGTATTTCAATTCACTAATTAATTTTTATTATAATTTGCTAAATAATTAAAAAATTATATTGAAATATAATTTGCTGAATAAATTCGATAATGAAATTAATTTAATTATACATTATTTGACATGAAGAGGTCTCCATTCCAATTCCATTAATGCCTATTTTGCAATATAAATCGGTCTAATGCTATGCAAATTAACTATGCATTAAATTGCAATCATCGAATTTCTATATGCTTGAAATAACAGATTATTAAAAAAAAAACCTGGAAAGAATTTAAATAAACAAAATAACTGAAAAATTTAGGAGACATAAAATAACAGTTGGAATAGGTTATGATTATTTTGAAATTTATGCATAATTATTTATTCATCTAATTATTTATAAGAGAGAGAGAGAGATAGAAGGAGAGAAAGAGAGAAAAAAACATGAATTGATATTTTATTTTATCAATTTTATAAATTCATAACAAACTAAGTTTTATTGTTTTTTCTTAACATTTATCATTTAGTTAATTTTTTAAAAAATCATTTTCAATCATTTCAGGCTAATGCTACTGATAAAATTTACACCTCATTTTTATCATTTTTAACTATTGATTTGTTTTAAAATAGACAAAGCATTAAAATGAAATTTCATATGATATTTTCATTGAGTGATTAAAAAACAGTTTTTTCCCATTTTTTCATTGAATAACTGTGCAACATAATATATTAATGGTATGCTATTATCATTCAGATTATCAGAATTATCATTTCATTTCAATATTCCACATTTTTTCCCTTTGTTTCAATTATAATATCTCATTAGGGCACTGTTATATATATATGTTGAATATTTTTTTCGAAAAAATTTGTTGCAATTTATTCATCCATTAGTACAGCAATCAATTATGAACGATGTCACTAAAATTTACGAAAAATATTGTAAACTTAAACAGCTGCCTTATTCAGTTTACCTTTTTTCTTTTCTTCCACATTTTAATTGATCTCTGATTTTTCTATATTTTCTTTTTCTTTTCAAACTAAAATTGTTTCATTTCCTGAAATTTCACATCATTAATATTTTATCATTGTTTTTGTTTTTGTTTTTGTTTTTGTTTTAAACGATGAAAAAAAAAATATATTTCTATTTGACATCAAAAATTTCAAATAATTCAAATTGTAAATTTGTAGGAATAATAATTATAATTGTCTTCCTCTAATATTTATATATATATAAACAATTAGCACACATATATAAATAAATTCATAGCAATAACCCGTGAATGTTATAAACAAAATTTCCCTTTGTGAATAATTTCACTGTTTTCTTTTTTTCTCTTTTTTTTGCATTTTAATTAAAAATATTAACTTTTTAAATGTTTAGAAATTTATCCATAAAACAATAGCTGGCAAGAAAAAAAAATTAAATGAATTAATATGAAACATTTTATAGCTCACAAAGGAAATTTTTGATTAAAATGAAGCAATACAATTTATATTTTCAAAATCAATCATCACAACATATTTATGCAGTATTTGTCGTTAAAAGTAATTCACTATCCCTTGACCAATGACATGTCATATAATGTTTTAGTAATAGACGATATTTATCCGAAAATAACATATATATTGCTATGTTGCATGATGCATTTACCATAACCTGAAATATCATATATCCTAAATAATTTAAAGAAAAAAATTCTTAATTCAGGTTTTTGATATTAAACAAATTACCATAACCTGAAATATCATATACTAAATAATCTAAAGAAAAAATCAAATTTTTGATATTAAATGAATTACCATAACCTGAAATATCATATACTAAATAATTTAAAGAAAAAACGAATTCTTAATTCAGGTTTTTGATATTAGACGAATAGTTAAATGTATAATGAAAATGAAAATGAAATTTTAAACAATTTCTGCAAAAATAACAATTGCAAAAATGTTATTTAAAGAAAGTTAAAGAGAAAAAAAGAATTGATGAATGAGAAAACTAAAATTTATGACAGATTTGCAATTAAAAATCGTTTTTCATCTTTTTGTTTTCTTTTTTTTTAACGGTAAATATACTTTAAGAATACGTTGTGATATTTGTTGTAATTTGAAGAAGTAGTACTTATATTTATCTCTTTTGATTTAATTATAATCTTCTTTTATTTATTTTATTGAAATTTCTTTTCTTTTTGTTTCTGTGTAATTATTCTTTTAACTTAATTATTAATAATTTTTTCTTTTAATTAAAATTATTAGTGTTAGTTAAAGTTTATGTGATTTTTCCTTTTTTTTTTTTACAGTTTAATATAATTTTTATTTTGTTTAAATAATTGTGTAATCATTATTTTACTTAATTAATTATAATATATTTAAATTTGATAGTTTTATCAAATAATCAATAGAAAATGTTAATTTTTAGTGACAGTGTTTCATAATAGAAATGACAAAAACACCTTAATAATTCATTAAATTTTTGTTAAAAAAAAAGGAACTAAATGATTTACCAAGAAATTGCTGTAAGTGACAAGCGAAACGTAAAGAGCATTGTCATAACCAACATTTTCCAGAATATTAACTACGAATGCTAATGTATTGCATGATAGGAAAACGAGTACAATTGTAATAAGCATTATTGATATTTGGCGTTCTTTTCGTTCCGCCTGTTTTAACGATTCATCGGGTACCATACTTTGCCTCCTATGTAATCGATTTGATCGTCGAATGGCTAATAGCACCTAAGAAATATGAAATTTTTATTTACAAAGAATTTTAAATTATTCCTAAAGTTAAATTATTTTTTTTTAGAAATAACAATGTAATTGGAATTGAAACGAAATTATCATATCTGATTATTTATCACTAGCATTATTGTTTGATATTAAATTACTAATGTTTCAAATATCTATGTCTTTAGATTGTTTGTTAGCATTTTATAGTATCAATGAATTGAAAAAAAAATTTGTCCATTAGTAGAAATTATTGATACTTCAAATAAAAGTTTTCGAAAGTTCAAAAATGTTAACCTGAGAATTTAAAATAATTAATAATGTAAATGGCAGCACAAACATCAATATAGTATAGGCCCAACCAAAAAATATAAGGCGATAAGTTTGACTAAGTCGTAGATTTGATGGGACTAACACAGGAATAAAGGCATTTATATTTGATCGGAAACAATTATTGACCACACGTACCTAAAATTAAAGTTATAATTATTTTAATAAATGAAATTACAATCCCGTTATGAATTAATTGATCAATTAAATTGTATTTTGATAATTGATGGATTTTAGAACCAGCTATTTAAATTCATTGGATTTTAATTGGTCAACTGTTCGATATTCTTCACTGTACACTTCCATGTAGACCCTTCTTTTTTATTCTTATCGTAATTCATTTCCAATTTTACTCAATTTTTAAGTTATAATTCTTTCGGGAATTAGAATTCATTTATATCATTTGGTCATCAATCATCACCAGTCGTTTCTTATTGGCCCATTTATTATCGATCAGATTGTAAATGACTTTGATCATCTTGTAATTGGATGTTACAAACTGTTGAAACTGTGTTTTGTTTCATTAAATGAATGTATAAAAACTTTCTACCATTTATCATTTCTTACAATGATTTATAAATTCTTTTACTAATTCTAATAAAATTTCATATCCTCTTATCATCAAAAAATATATATATATATTATTTTAAAAGCTAAAACTTACCTAATCGCCTTAATGTATCATAAATTTTCCTGATTCTAATCTAAATTAAATAATTGGTATGTTCACATCGAATTCAATCACTTATTTAAATCATTTAATACATTATAATTTAAATTTTTTTGTCCTTTTAAATGATAACAATATTTTTTTGTAGTATAAATTGAGTTTTCAATATTATCCATATTAGGATACGATAAATGAGCAAAATTTGATTTATTCACTAATTTTAAATTATAATTAAAATTTAAAGCATAAATTATCTGTTTCCAATTAAAATATTCTTCCGCAAATGATACATAATAATAATAATAATAATAATCCTTTTATTTTATTCTTTTTTTTAAATCTCTTTTTTTCTAATGAATTTGAAATTTTAATTTTCACCTTTTTTTTCCGCAATTAATTGAATGATTTAATTAAAAAGAAGAAAAGGGAATGAAAAGAAATGAAGTAAATTCGGCACAACTGTTCCAAACTATTTTCAAATCAAAATGACATTTGTATTGACATAAAGCAAAAAATTAATTCCTTCCTTCCTCTCTTCATCTCTTATCATTGAAGAAGTAAACGTTAATAACATTAGAAGAAATAATTTCCTACATTTCAATTTCTTCTAAAGAAAATATATGAACTTGAATTTTCTCACAAAATTGAAGAAATTTTAACAAAAAATCTTCTCACTACAAAATTTTTGTTTTTTTTTTGCATTAACATTTTCTGATTACAATTGGAAATTTGCTTTTAAAGAAAATTTTGATTAGCTTTTAAATAAATTGAAAAATCGGAATGTAATTAATTGGATGTCTTGATTTAAATAAAAAAAAGGGAATAAAAAGGAATGAAACAGATTCGACACAATTTCTCGAATTATTTTCAAATCAAATGACAGTTGTATTGATCTATAAGACAAAAAATAGATTTTGATATAAATTAATTATCAAATTAATTAAATTTTGTTAATTTGATGATTGGAGAAATTATCAATGAAAATGCTTGAAAGAAAAAAAAACGGATGGAAAAGAAGTTTTTGAGTTTATAACTTTTTAAAATATATTACGGAATAACGTAAATGAGATTAATTCCGGATTGAAATTGGCATAAAATCTTCAACAATATAAAGTAATTTATTTTTTAAATGAAAATGGATTAATTTTGTAATTAAAAAAAGAAATGGTTTATGTTAGATAAATTGCTTCTTTATGAAAGAATGGATGAATGAATATGTATGATAGATATCTTTAATCCCTTCTGCATCATATAATTGTTCGCTTTGTAATTTGTCTAAAATTAGAGTTCAATTTAAATACTTACCACATTTATCATATTTCAATGCTACCAATAACATTTTAACATTTTAACAATAATATAAAACTAAGTTAGAGAGAAAGAAAAAAAGAGAAAGGAAAATAAATTAAATTTAATGAGTGCAAAATTCATTTATGCTTGTTTTTCTTTTAAAATTATTTTGATATATTTTCATCAAAGTTTCTAAAAGAAAAGAAAAGAAGAAATAAATAAATAAATAAATAAATAAACAAAAGAGCAAAAATATTTTGAAGCAATGTTATTTTTCAGAGCAAACGATAACTTTAACGATTCATCCGTAAATTTGGATTTTCTTCAAAGAATAGTGATAAATCATTTGTGGTTACTAATACTTCCCAAGAGAAACTTTTCCCGTACTCAGAATATCACTAATATTTTCACTAACAAATCGGTTGGTTTCTATCCTTTCAGCTAATTCATCCATACTAAAGAATTGAAGAGAAAACTTTGTTGAAAAAAATTTTTAACGGAAATTCTGTGTAACATTTTTCTTCTTCTTCTTCTTCTTCATCATCATTTTTTTACCATTAATTTATATTAAAAAATAAATTTTGAAATAATTAATAGAAAATAATAATTTAAAATTAAATAAATTAATTTTATTATTTCAAATTAATTTTTTTTAATTAATTTTTTTTTCTTCTTTATTAAACAAAAAACGAATTTTGCTTATTTTCCAAACATTCAACAAAATTAAATTCTTTCACAAATGTAAATAATACAAAATCCTTCTGATAACTCATTCAGAACAACAACAATACAAATGAACTAACCTCAAAAAATCGAGTAATATTGAAAAGAAGAGAGAATCCGAGAAGTGATAGAATAAATATTCGAACTCGAGCTGTTTTTAGGAGTGTTGATGTTTTAAATGGTAAACATACTCCAACATAACGATGAACAGACATACCTGTCGTCATCCATACACTGCAATTAATTAATTAATATTAATAAAGTTTGATTAATTTTAAATATATTAGATGTAATAGTAAAATTTTGAGCATTATGTTATATGATTATAATAATAAAAATTTCAAAAAAAAATGGGGTAATTATCATAGAATTTAAAACTTAAAGTATATTTCCGTATAGACTGGCAGCAATTTCATGCAAATATATTTTAATTGAAAAATAAAAAAAGCAATTTTGATCACTGGTACATTTCTATTTCTTTTCCATTTTTCAACTTTTTTTCAAGCATATTTTATTCATAAATAATATTACAATTGTTTGATAATTCAATTATTAGCTACTGTATTTATCAAAAAAATTAATTATCTAAATTAATTAAATTTCTATTACTTTGAAAATTTTAAAAAATAATTATCAAAATTTTACGATAATTTTTTCCAAATATTTTTATCAAAATTATTGAATGAAATTTTTCTAAAAATATACGAAATTTTTGTCATTTGTTGTGATAAAGGCAATATTGGTATATAAGAAAAAGACCAATTCACTTCACTGATTGATGGAATTTTTGGCCATTTCAATCTTTCTTTTTCTTGCTTCCTAGTTCGAAATTTTAGGAATAACAAAGGGAAAAAGTTGAAAAACATTCTTAAAGCATTTTTAAAAAAAGAAGAAGAAATGGTAGCCTATCAATATGTCGAATTAAGAAACAGCTGTCGGTTTCTATCAAATAAAAAAAAAGGGCTGATAATGAAATATTTCTTTTTTAAGATATTTTAAGAAATATATTCTTTTTGCCAGTTTTTCTTTTAAAAAATCTATTCTAAAGAAAACTTTAGCTAACTTTTAAAATAAACAAATAAATAATACTAACTTTTACAAAAGTAATTATTTATTTTTTTAAACAAATTAATATCATTTCAAGAAATTTTTATGATAAAAGATAATATCGAAGATAGATTTACAGTATACATTTCAATTGATTTCATCGCTTTCTTTCTTTCTTTCTTTCTCAAATCAAATGTTGAAAATTGATGTAGGAAGAGGGAAAAAAATGAAGAAAAGAAGGAATTGAAAAATGATTCGAACATTAAATGAACATGTAAATGAATGTATATTGTTATATCAAGTTTATACCAACAACTAATATCAACATTTTTTTTAAAAAGAAGAAAAGAAAGAAATGAAGCTTGCCTTATCGTTTGAGAGAGTGTCATTAGACCATACATATAAGGTGCAACCCAATAACTGAAATTAAAAAATTTTTTTTAATATTTCAATAATTTTTATCTTATTTAATTATGAATACTATAGTGAAAAAGATATGATAGATGGAGTTAAAATATGATAATATTTTTCAGAAAATTATTTTACAATAAAACAAAGAAAAGTTAAATAATTAATTGTCAAAATTTTATGATAATAAAATAAAGCAAATCAGTGAAGTGATAATTTTTGAAAAATAATAAAAAGAAAAGTTATTTCTTTTGATTGGATATTAAAGCTCTATTTGAGAAGATCCTTCCAGCTATTTTGAATTTCTTTACGCCATTTTCATTTTCATGATAAATTTCAATTTTTTTCCTATTAGAACATTTTCAACATTTCGTATCATCCCTTTCTTCATTTTCTTCTTTATCATCTTTTAAGCAATTTCTTATTAATATTATTTATTGATACTGAAAAACTAACTTGTTGTTTTTATTAAAATTGTTATATTTTACAGGAACAAGGAAAATGACACGTCATGTCATTAGAAGCATTTAAACAACGATCAAATATATCCTTAGCTGTCATTAATTATTAATAAAATTATAGCAAATTTGTTGTCATTTCAATTTTTTGCACATGTTAAATTTCGATGTTTAATATGTTGAATTTCGAAAAATTTTTAAAATAAGAACCAGTTACCGGGACAACTGCTATTTGAATGATATTAATAATAACAAATTCAATAATCCTTAAGAATTTTCTTTCATTATCCATTATCCATCCTTTTTCATCATTTCTTTCTTTCACTCTCGCTTTTCTTCTAATTCCTTCATTTTTCATTTTTTTCTTGTTAACTAAAAAGTCATATTGATTCAGAATGTGTTTAGTTGATGTCAGTTTTCGTTACTTTTTCTTCCGTCACCTGTCATCGTTGCCTTATTTACATTGTATGCATGAATATCCTATGTTTTATTAAGTTAAATGCTTGAACAACAATCCATTCTAGCAACGTCAATGGATGATAATATATTTCGATAATAATGCACTTTTTCATTCATCCCTTATGTTGCAGTAATAAATAGAATATAATAAAAATAATAATAATAATAATTTTCCAATTATAATTTTCAGGTTTATTTTTAAATCTACATATTTGATTAATATCAAAATATATAATTCTTATTTATTCAAAATGAGAAAAATGATTCGAATAAAATGAGAGAGAGAGAGATATATATATATTTATTTATCAACATTTATCATTTAGTTCTACAAAACTTTTTTTCATGCTACTTCTAAATAAAGTATTTTATTCTTTTAAGATTAAAAAATAAGATTAAGTTAATCCAAAATTTACTGATGATTTCCGTCTTCTTCTCTCTCTCTCTTTTTGTTAACACATATATATATATATATATATATATATATATATAGAGAGAGAGAGAGAGAGAGAAAGAGGGATATATTAAAACAAGTAAAAAAAGGCTTGTTTGAATGGCAAAAAGTCCCTATAGTAGATGAAAGGGTCCAAAGTTTAACGAAAAATTGTAGAAGTTTTCATTTAAATTCCAAGTCATTCCTTTTTTTTTTGTTCCCTGATGGATTCATTCCTATTTTTCGTCATTTTTAGACATTCTGATAATGAAAATTCGATTGGTAAAAATGAACAAAAACTAAAAGAATGATGAAAAAAAGATAGAGAAAAACGATTTTCAAAAAGAAAATGTTATATTATTTTTATATTTAAAAGGGAAAAGAAAGAAAGAAAGAGAGAGAGAGAGAGAGAGAGAGAGAGAGTTGAAGTAAAATAACAATTTCGAAGTTGTCAATTGTTGATTTGAATGATTAAAGGATTAAGGTAAGAAGTAAGCAACACGATAATCCTGTTTTTCAAATCATTATTTTATGAGCTAACAAGCATTATTGTTCATTCAGTATGCTCCTGTTTCTTTTTTTTTTCATTGAACAATTTAAATTTAATGCTTCGTAAATTTTAGTTTATCAAAAGGGGACAGATTTTGCCCTCTTGAGGTTTTAGCAAATGTGGAATTGTTGCTTAAGCATCATCTAATGGCTAGTGAGAAATGGAAAAACGACAGCTGGCTCAATGAATTTGATGAAAGGGCAAGAGTCCCGCTCATTGAAAAAATACTCATCAGTTGGGCGAACTTTTTCACAAATGAACATACCGGTTAAAATTCAAAAAGTTCCCATTACATTTTAAATCATCATAATCAATCACTTAACATCGCTACTTTTTCCTTCATTTTTCATTCCTATATATCACAAAATCAGGAAGAGAGCGAGAGAAATACTTTCAAAGAGTCATTTATGAGACCAATTTCAGGAATATTATTTTAGATGCCGAAATTTTAATCTTTTAAAAAAAATTTGAGAAGAGCTGTAAACAAAATCACCGAATAATTGCAACAGGAACAAACTATATTTTACTTCATGTCATTAAAAATTTTTAGCGTCAGAACTATCAAGAAAATGGACGACAATGTAATGCTATACTATCAATAGCGCAATCCACTTGCTATAGATCAATTTTTTATCAACAGCTGGAATTTTTATGTTGTGGTATGACAAGATTCCGAAGAATCTTTGTTATGTCGATATTAGATGCATTGTGAAGTCCCAAACAGGATTTATAGATTGATCCGAGATTAACTAGTAATGATTGCCATTTCAAAGTAAATTTATTTACAGACTTTGATCAGTTTTTCAACCAAATAATAAAAATGGATAACACAACATGTACATAAGATAAACCCGCAGGAAATTACATTGCGTGCTAACGAATGTTAAATGATTTAGTATATGCGAAACTACTACCCATCATCTCTTCCTAACCTATCTCTTCCCTCAAATCGAATACAAATCATCCAAAATTCTTAACCTCACTCTTCCCTACGTTACGGATGACTGTAAAAATTCCCTTCTCTTTTAGATGGACTACAAGGTAAATAAATACTTGTCACAAATTTTTTTATTCCTTTGTATTCTTGCCGCTATTTCAAAACTTACGTCATCCACCTATGTATGAATATTTTACAATGCTCATAGCGTGCAACATATCTATATTGAGTACATGTTTGCGTCTCTGGAATCAGATATGCGGCAAGCAAAGCTTTAACGCAGCGCTCCGATCTCAATGTTATCTCAATGTTACTCAAGCTCATTTCTCACAGTCAATCTTTTTTGTTTTCGAAAGTTGCTCGAAAACATGGTGATCCATTTAAAGAGTTGTCATTTCTTTCTATGATTAAAAAATAACGAGAAAAAATAAAACTGTAATGCTTCTTCCTCCTTCTATTCCTGAAATTTCAACAGCATTTTGCTCCACCTATAAAAAATCTAGTCCTTCCCGCTATTACAGTTTTTCTTTTATAGAAATATCAAGTGAACTCACAGTCAAGTATTAAAGATTCTAATTTTAGTGCTATTAAAATAGCTCAACGTGATGCTACAAATATCAGTCATCTCGTGCACACAGAAATCGCCTTTCTTCTATAGAACAAATGGTTCCTTCTCAAAGAAAAAGGGAAAACTTTGAATGTCTTCTGGAATTTCTACCAATTCAAGGATTCGTTCATTACTAGATTAGAGAAATAAGAGAAGATCAAGAGTAAATATAAAAATATACGATAAGAAAATGTAGAACAAATTTTTACATCTAATACATAACAGTTTAAGCAGAATTTGTAACAACATTGACGAGAAAGATTCTGAATGATTATTAATGAAGTAGCTCATATGCTTGCTTCCATTTCATCATTTAAACATCAATTATACTTACATTACAAAAGGCAAACAGAAAGGGTCCACATAGATGCTAGTTCATTAAACATCTGTTATTTTCAATAAATGATGGTGAAGAATAAAAGTCAACTTAATCGATAAAATTTTCAAACAAGAACCTGAATCTGGTAGCCGACCACGTTTTCGTATATTCACCCAGTCTGGGTAACGAGAGAACAAAGAATGCAGAAAATAGAATAAGTGTATCAGAACTAGAGAGAATTGCGAGGTACCAATTAATGGATGAGGAAAACATGAAACGGTGGGTGAATATACGGATGGAGGTAATATTTGCGCAAAGGCCAAACACGATAATTGGTAGAGTAATGAGGCCAAGCAGTAGCCTTTCCTCATATGCATAAAACTGATACGACAAGTGGCATTCACAATCAACAGATAATATCGTGCACCATTCATCATCATACTGATGTTCATTTCCCAATGTAATGTTACTGCTATCTCTGATAGTGCTAAGTATTAACTCATGGGGTGACGGGACAGTCGGGATGAATAACCGTGAAAAGGCACTGATGTCAACACTGGTAATAGTAGTTGAAATATTGGAAGTACCAACATTTGTGGTATCAGAAATCTTACTGGCTGCGACCACATCCATAACTGAGGGGCTAAACAGACCTCGTCTAGGGTCACCGAGACCGTGAAACAGAAACACGATTAAAGGTTTGGAAGTAATAGTAGTCTAGGCTGAGAAAGTATCCGTCTTTAGCAGTCCCGCCCCCTCTAAAAAACATGAGTAGAGTAAAAGAGTTGATTACCCTCTCCAAGCCTCAGCAATAGCAGCAACAGCAGCTAAGCTTCAGCCTGTAACAACATACATACCGCCAGTGATGGATGGAATGGATTGATGAATGGTAATACACAAATACAACATTAACGGCCTGAACAGTGCACTAGTTCCTTCTTCATTGGCGTAGTGCATTAGGAAAACGCTGTTCATAGCGTTCATCACGGAGAAACTTCGCCCAAACCAACTGACCTGAAACGCAATTTCCAAAGTTCACTTTAAAAATACGCAAACTCTCATTTATTTTTTTGGGTCGTTTCAATCCAAAATATCAATACGGATTATTTAATTAATTTTGGGAATGAACCTTATCTATCTGGTCAATTTCAAAGACCCCATCTTTCCTCTCATGATTTCAATTCCCTTTCAGGACGCATTCTTTCATCTTTTATCCTAATGAATCTTATTTGTTAGTGTCTTTTAACAATTATTTTTACATTAAAATTGTAAAATTAAATATCATCATAATTAAATGCCTAAATGCTTCAATTTGAACGAAGCAAAAGAAGCGCACATATTTTTCTGAAACTTTATTTTGAGAAAATTTTTAGCACTTTCTTATGGGCTGTATTTTTATTAACAAATTAAAACAATGTGGTATTCATAACCCCTTCTTACAGTAAAAAAAACAAGCAGAACAGCAAAAATATTTTTATTGGTATTTTTAGCATATTTCTCATTCTTCCCTTCGGTAAGCCATTTCAATGTAGTGAAAATTCAATTTATACACAGTTTTTTAAAACTACCCAGTTGTACCGAATAGTTTTTAAGAACTTCTGCAATTAAACGTTTATCTTGAAAACCTTTAGTGGTATCATTTCGTGTTTTTCCTAAAGAGGTCCCCATGAAAAGTATGAGGATTATTGACAAGTAATATGAAGCACGTAAAATGATCTTTAATGAGAAGTGGAACCTCTGCTTTACGCTACCCGTTATCATATAATATTAAAAAGAAGGTTTGGAAAATTACCTTTTCGTTTGCAATTCGCAAGATGAAATATTTGAAATACTATGGGAGAAGGAACCTTCCGTTTCAGAAACGAGAAAATTTCCAGATCAGATTAGTATTGTGCAGGAAATCGAACCCGGTGATCCAAATAGTTCAAAATTCCCAGCATCCATATTATCATTTTCAAATTCAGCTATAGAATTGAAAAAAAAGATAACTCTTACCGTTGAACCAAGTTCCGTGTAATGATTTAAAAGCAGAGCTGCAATCGGTTAATGACGCGAAACGAGCAAATACCACGCCTTCCTTAGAATCCTTTTCCATATAAACATGTAGCGGCTCAACTGGGGCTATTTTCTGTAGCAAAGCTTCCTTCAGATCCATATATTTTGCTTCATAACTCCTGAAATGTTTTCACAGTAATTTCTTCCAAAAAACGTTCTTTTCAAAGACAATTTAAGAATGGCATGTGACTTTTCTATAACTCATACCAAACAGAAGTATAACATTCATTTTCGATCTCTTCCTGTGAGCTGTGCTCTTGGAAATTCCTCTAAAATCAAAATCTAACAGTGGAAAATAAAGTACACCCCTACTATTCTTGTTCCAAAATCTTAACCAATGAAAGCGACATACTTCGCTGAAGAAAACATTCCGCGCAGCTTTAGACAATGTGATGGCGCCCGGTCTAACATATTGTGTCGCATACTTCCATCAAATGCTAAAAGAATTTATTATATGGATTATTTTGAATATCTTTGATGAACACCAAAAGTTCCAAATTATAATACTCCTCCTAAAAATTATGCAGGGGAAATCTTTTTGGGCTATACATCCGAATACATTATTTCGTTTTTGCAATTTTGTTTTTAAATAAATTATGCAACGAGCAATATTCTTGTTTTGAAGATCAATAACGTCACTAACTGCTCGATCTTTAAAACGTTTTTTATCTTTAAATCATGCATATGCAAGCTTTGATAACTCTATATTAATAGAGTTAAAAAAGAAATACAATACAAAACTACTGCAAAATGACTCCAGCACTTTGTACTGTATTTCTCTTTCCTGTACATAGAATACTGCAAACGAATGAAAGAAATTATTCCGAACAAATCAGTGAAAACTTAAATTGCAATGAACGTACCACTACCCTGCCAACCATTCTTTTTTGCGGGTATCCATCGCCATACAGAACACTCTACACCATTGATGATTCGAGTTTCCGTACTCACTCGTGATTCATTCATATTGATAAATTCAACCGCTTCCTGCCATCGGCGCCACTCCGGACTATTACGCATTCTAAGAAAACCAAATAATTTCACACTAATCACAGTTAAAATAATGCATATGAAATTTCACTTTAAGTTTGATAAAAAAAGGTATACAGAACCTCTTAGATGGTGGAAGAAGCATATCTCGCACATGAGGCTCGGCAACATAAATTTGACCCTGCTCATTCGCATCACGAATAATGTCTGCAAACGAACAAATAAAATTGATCGTGCATTACTATTTTTTTATCCCTTATGCAAATAAAACGGATACCCAGCAAATTAACTCCCATACAAACTCACCAATAATTTTCTCAATGAGGTCGAAGGTAAGTCGTTTATCTTCGGCTTTCTTCTTTGTCTGATAGAGTCGTAACATGTAAATACCAACCACCATTCCACATACTGCAATTACATTGCGGATTCCAACATCCTTATTATTTTGAATTAAATTATGAATAAAATTCAGAGAACCAGACAAATACATTTTCTGGCATTAATCAGTAACCATTCATGCATATTTAGCGAATAGGCTAAAGACGTTGGTGCTTTTTCTGGAAAGGAAAAAAAAGATCATGTATGGACGCATATCTTGGGCACTTATCAATAGATGAATTGTATTCAACAACTGGAAACTGCTGCCCTCATGACGATGATTTCGACAAATTTCGCGCTAATTAAGAATGCCAATCCGTCCACTGCACAATCCAAATGCTAGTTTTTGGGATTCTAATGAGCAAGGCATTCAGCTCAGAACCATGCAGAAAAGATAAAAAAGCAAAGGCATACCTACAACCACTGTAAGTAACGGGAGAATCGCATATGTATACAAGAAAAACACTGTATCCTTTGCAGCATCTATAACAACTAACATAATCATTATTTTTGAAAAACTTATACCCAAAAATCATTTTATATTATTAAATTTATATCATTTTTTCGTACAAACAGGGTAAATCATAGCGGTAAGGTCTTATATGAATTACTGAAAAATTCTTTTTGTAAATGTATTACTCATCACCTTGTCTAATTTATATCATTACTCAAGGATTCAAACGTCAACAGCTGTCATGGTATTCACCATAAAAATGACGAACAATATGAAAAAAAAAACTCACTATAGGCAATACGACCGCCGTGAATCAAAGCACCCGAATTTGCAGTCGCCAGATAAGCAATAAGCAAAAAACAAAACAGAGACACGAGAGAGAATAGTAGTACTCGTGATATGTCAAAGCCCAATATAGCGCTACGTGTTGGTGCAGTTTCTCGAAAAGAATATGGATATTTGTCATGAAATGAATGGGAAGATTTCGATGACTGAAAATTCACAAATTTAGCAAATCCAAAGCATTCTAAATACCTTATTTAGGAATCTAACGTACCTATCACACTTGCTGCTGCAAGTAACAGAAAATAGCCATGGTGACCAAATATAGGCCAGAAGGTCAATTATGCTGCATTAAGAAGTATCACGAATTTAAAAACCGAAATGGTTAGATACTCGTGAAACAAGAACTTTAAATTATAAGTGAAAAAAAAATGACTTAATAAAGAATTGCGGCAGAAAATTCTCTCAACTTCTATGTAGATTTTATTCATGCAGATTACTGAAGATAAGCTTAAAATATGAACAAACTTTTCGGAAAGATTTGCGTGGAAGAATGAACGATGTCCACATCTTGAGATACTTGTTCAATGCTGAGAGTATTGAAAACGGCTTCTGTGTGCCAGGTATTAGGGCTGGGTTCGCTGTAACTATGCGTGAACTTTCCATATGATCATCATCACTGTCACTGTCACGGTCACCAACCATATTTCTTCTCAAAATATTCAACTCTTCTTGACTATCTTTAAAATCCAACCGACGTCGTGCCCCTCGGTCTAAAAAAGCACTTAGTGAATTTTACACATGAAAAAACCAAGAGTCACACCCAGTAGTTTAGTGCAATGAGTTTCAAAATATAAGGGAACTAAATACGGGGAAATCATTAGATCGATAGGTTTACTATGTACGTTGCATGACAAATTAATTGAGCGGAGTAAAAATAACAGATCAATAACAACTTGAAGCTAAATAAGTTCCTTCCAAAATATTATTGTGGCGGTTCGTAGATTTTGGTGTGTAAGAAGAAGAAGAAGCAGGATATGAAGATCGAGGAACCATGGTCGGACGAGGTGGCGTCGGGAATTTGCGTTTATCGTAAACCTGAAATAATAAATATAGATATAACAATAATCGATGAAACCACAGATTTTATAAATATCATATGAGCAGTACGAACATTTGTGAGATCATTCGATGAGTTACTAAGAATTCCTGAAGACTTGTTCTTTTGGAGTTTTTTCGCTAGCTGTTTTTCATAGATGGTACGAGTTGTAGCAGTTATTGGCCCCACGTTTACGCCAAGTGCGATTAAATTAGCCCGCAATTCTTCATCTGACAATGTGTGCACAGGCTGAAAACTTTGCAAAATAATTCCGAGACATATAATCTATTATTATAAAATAGTACATCTTGATATCATGATTGATAATACGACAAGAAAGAAAGAAGAAATCAACCTTTTGAAGAGTTCGACTGGGACTTTTCGAATTTCGGCGCGTCGAACTAAAGCTTTTGTTTGAACTCGACATATCTAAAGTCAGCAATTTTAGAATTAAAAGAGAACTTGACTAACTGACGAAATACTGACCTAATAAAATTTATTAGCTCACTATCAACCCTTCAGCCAATCGTTAATATTCCTCTCTCTACAACTACGGGACATAGATGGTCTTGTTTGAAGAACATTACTGTATTTTTTTTACTACACTCTCCAAGGCCGTTATTTCACATTTTTCCACAATGTTCAATACGTCGCCTGCTATATTTATAATAGGACGTTAAGTTAAGTCAATAATTTATTTAAATATGATAGAAAATATGAAAGTTCCTCATCCATTACACTATTCAAGAACCTTACCCACAGCGTAAAACATCTTAAGCCGCCCGGCAAACTCTGGAATGAACCGAATGTTTTCTTCCCCTATCGACGAAATCACTTACTAGCTTTGAGACAAATTTTACAATTTCGTGAAAGGAGTTCGAAATAGTACAGGTATGTTGGGGAGGGTAGAGAGAAGGGGAATATCTAAAGAGTGTGTGACGATAGAAACAGTGAATTGTATTTTCTTCCCTTCTGTTGTTCCAGACTCGGCAGAAGATATTTCGGGATATCTCGAGACGTAAGGTCTTTGATTTCAAGTAACAGATGAATAGTAGTGATAATAAGGGAATGGTAGGGAGAATCGAGCTAGTGTATAAAGAGCATTCATTTCCGGTCATTTTTCTCTGAAGATATTGAGCATCCTCTTTCGGGACTTCTTTTTATTAATCCCTCCCTTCTTTTCCATTTGTCCATTAAATTCTCATATTTTGATAAAGGATCTTCGGGAGATGAAGATGCAGCAAAGTTTTGGTTCATTAGCTGAGCTGGAACCCAAACTTTGATGCGCTTTCACTTTTTTTTTTCTGTTTACGCTATACTGGATCTCACGGATTCCGTTCTTTCTCAAATTTTATTTTCAAGCTTTTGAATCTCAAAATTTTACAGTTTTTTCTAAGGAAGCAAATTCCATAAATGAGATAACAAATGGAATTGACGAGAACACTAAAGCCCGGGTTTTACGCGGTAGAACTGAATAAAACAGTGTGGATCATTCCGAATTATTACCAAAATCTCACGCCTGTTGGTACTGGTGCTTATGGTACAGTATGGTTAGTTTGTTGTTTTTTGGTCATCTTACTTATCCAATTAATTTTGTACTGTGTGAATGGACAAATCATTGAGTGACTACTTCCTACTAGATGATATGGTGTCTGATCCTATCACGATTTCGAGATGGCAAACTGTACTGTTTAAAATAAGAGATGCTGGGGCTTTTCAGTGGCGAAAGTAAAATCTCTATTTTTTTTCCTCCGCTTTTTTCGCCTAACTACCGAAAATTTCCGACTTTAGTCAGTCAGCGAATGACAGAATATTCTTCTCTAAAGGTTGCGATGATAAATCTCTTGTGCTCGGACACAACTCAGCTAGCTCTACGACTTGAACATCTTATCGGAAGATAATCCGATGTGGTATTCACTTTAATGAAGGAACAAATAAATGGATAATATTGATTCCAGTGCAGCAGAATGCCGTTTAACGGGTGAAAAGGTGGCGATAAAGAAGTTTTCTCGACCATTTCAAAGTGCAATCCATGCAAAACGTACGCATCGTGAATTGAAACTACTACGGTCGATGAATCATGAAAATATTATTGATATGCTAGATGTATTCACTCCTGACATCAACGCTGCTTCGTTACAAGACGTGTCAGTTTTTTTCCTTCTATTATTGCATTTTTACTTTCACTTCCATGTAGTATTGGCTGCTTTACTGGATGACCTATTCACCGCTGCGATTGCAGCTCACTACTTCTGAGACAGAAAGAAAAAACAGCTTTCCCTTGTCTAAAAAGATAACTGTAACTTATCAAAATATTAGAATGGAAAGAGTGAGCTTCGCAAACAGTACTGTTCTTCATTAAATGCATTATTGTTTGTCACAATAACTCATGAACTTGTACAGTTGAATAAAGAAAGGTAGATAAAAGAATGGTTTTTCAATCCTTCTGGTGATATTATCTGCAAAGTAATTTGTGGGAGTTGTTTTATGCCGTTTTAGATATTTTGTTTCTATGTTGATGGGAGCAGATTTATCCAGTATATTGAAGATTCAGCGTCTCAGCGATGATCATGTTCAGTTCCTAGTTTATCAAATACTTCGTGGTTTAAAGGTTTTTTTTTCTTGTCTTAGGGAACGAAAGTTAATTATATGGACTGTAACCAAATTCTTTCCATTTTTGTTCTCACAAAGATTATTTTGCAGTATATCCATTCCGCCGGTCTTATTCATCGCGATCTGAAACCATCAAATATAGCTGTCAATGAAGACTGTGAATTGAAGGTACAGCATTTCACTACTTTACGGGAACTTGCCTATGACATGGTTTACTGAATACAAATATTGAAGAATAGATGGAGTTTTGAGTACTATTTTAGATCCTCGATTTTGGTTTGGCGAGACAAACTGATAGCGAAATGACAGGGTATGTTGCCACGCGTTGGTATCGTGCGCCTGAAATCATGCTCAATTGGATGCATTATACACAAACAGGTAATCATTTTCTGCATATGTGTGACCGACTTGATTTACTTCAGAAAGCTATATTATAATTGATTTTTGAAAAGTTTGTTTTTCGCAAACAGAATCTCATCTTTGATTTTGGGGCGGAATTATTTCACATTGGTCTTTTCGTAAATTTTTGTTAGGTCTTTTTTTTGTTGCAGTAGATATTTGGTCAGTTGGATGTATTATGGCGGAACTAATTACAGGTCGAACTTTGTTTCCAGGAGCAGATCGTGAGCACTTGATTTTTTGCTTGCATTTCATGTAGGGACAGTCAATTTTGTTACTGAAATCCAGAAAATTTTTTCTATACTGATGTAAGTTTTGTGTTAACGTAATTCATTTTAGAAATAACATACCAAATATTATATTTTGTGAACTGTTCAGATATCGATCAATTGACGCGCATAATGAACGTGGTCGGAACACCAAACGAAGAATTTTTGTCAAAAATACAATCAGATGAAGCTCGTAATTACATCCGTAATCTTCCGAAAACTCCCAGAAAAGATTTTAAAAAATTGTTTCCAAGTGCGTCAGCTGATGCTATTGATTTGCTTGAAAGAACTCTAAATCTCGATCCTGATTATCGGTAATTTACTATTCATAATATGCATTTTATCTGTTTTTGCCAAGAGAAAAAATATTGATTGGTTTCCTTAAAAAACAATGACGTACCATTTTTGGAAGATATAAAACTTATATTCGTTTTCATCTTTTCATTATTGCAGTTTTTAAACTATATTACCCAAATTAAAGAGAGTTATTAATAGACCGACTGCTAGTGAGGCAATGGAACACCCCTATCTAAAGCAGTATCACGATCCTTCTGACGAACCTGTATCGCCACCACTCGATATCGACTCTGATGGTTCTTTTTTTTTTCTCACAAATCAAAGCAGCTTTCTTTTTCTTTTTTACTCGGTGTTTTACAAGGGCTATCACAAACCTCTGATATTTAAGCTGAGAATTAGTGTACTTTCTGGTTCTATTTGGAAAGAATTTGTAGAAGCTTTAGGAGCATTCTTTGATTTCATATTTGGTCCATCTGTTATCTGATCCAGTTCCAGTGTTGTTCTGGATGTAAAGATAAAAATGGCTAAGTTTTTTTTACGAAGAATCAGATAGGAATCAAACGTGTTAATATGGATCAGCTCATACGTTTTTCGTTGCAGGAGATTTAACGATTGAACAATGGAAGGAGTTAATTTGGAATGAAATTGGAGATTTTGCGAAAGAAAGGACCAAAAGACTTGCTGCTCCAACTGCAAATGACGAAGATATGAATTGAGATTTGGTTTTACATGTAATAAACTTGAAACACGAAGGAGCTTCCTGTTCCCACTTTTATTTTTGTTTAGCTTTACAATAACAACCCAATGACGGCATAAGCATAAGTATCGTATGCAATTCTAAATTTTTCAATTAGCTTGTCATAATACCAGTATTATTTTGAACGAATTGATGTATATAGAATTTTTTGTTTGTTTGTTTTTTGGTTTTTTCTTTTTTTGCGACAAATGGGTATTGATAATGTTTTTCAACTTAAATGGTATATGTACGCTAAACTCTAACCTTTCCATGTTATTGTTGTTTCAATTATGTGCGGCATAGTTGCACTGAAAGACGACAGCAGAAATGACTGGGCAGTCCTGATCATCCTGAAAAGTAACTTTGTAAATATAAAGTTAATTGTTTCTAGTATTTTCATGTCATTCTTAATCATATGATTTGTATGGTCTCTTATTTAACATATTTCACTTTCTACTTTATTAACAATTCTAAAAGTTTTTACTTGTTGTAATAATGATCTTTTTAGATGTACAGAGAAGATCGGGAAGCTCCGAAATTTGTATTCAACCTGTTTTTTTGTGGTTTCAGGTTTTCGTTTTATTTATTTCATTTAAACTAAGAAAATAATTCATATTTGACCGAACTAGATTTATCAAGTTATGTAACCGTTGTAGCTATCAACAGGGATGATTTGTTTATCTCGCTGATGCAGTCTGTCTCGCTGAGAGTCTAGTTTTAAAATTGCAATAGTATTATTTGTACAGTCTTAATTTGACCAAACTCTTTTTTGTCAAATTGAAACTATGCATTTGTTTGGCTGAATGGTTATGCGATCATATTTTTTAAGCATAGAATTGTACAATAAAATCACAAAAATCTCCCAAGTTGTTGAATCTATCTTGAACTATGTAAACTTTTTTTGTAAGCTACCATCGTAATCCTATTTATCTAAACGTCATCGGGTACCTAAGGTGCTTCTGTTATAATTTTATCAGTTTCATTTGTAATTGGAGCTAATTTAGTACCAGAAATTTATTTCCATAAGCATCTATGTTAGTAGTTCGAACGGAATGCGATGTCTGTTAGTCACTATCAACGCTCGGTAATAAGGTAATAACATTCCTCAATGAACAGTATTGACAAGTACTATATTATATTTATTTCACCGATGATAATTGTGTAGATATGATAATATTATTGAATAGACCGGATATGTTAATGGTAATTCTTGGTACTGATATTTTTTTAAAGTAATCATATAGATCATACAGATCAATGAAGATTCTAGAAGTAATATCCTGACAATTCCAAAATTGAGCAATTCCATTCTTCTTTCATTAAAAATATAATAATTGTATGCACAAGACAATAAGTAAGAAGAGTCTGGTTACTTATTTTCATGCAGTGATATACTTATTTTAACTTTTCAAGAGATACGATGAGATCTTGAAAAAAAACGTAGTATAGCAGTAGAATCAGAAGATTGGATAGCCTCGTGCGTAAGCGTGATGTGGATATATATACATATATGTATATATGTATGCGTGTGTACGGTGTGTCTTGCAATTTAAAACAAGATTACACTGCTACACATTTGCTTATTTTGTTGGAATAACAAATGATAGATTGGCGTGAGAAGGAGGGAGTTTGTTAGAGGATAGAGGATGTGTATATGTTGGTGGAGTGTTGTTGAATCGAGAATTCGGAAGAGAGATAAAGAATGTGGCCTTGTGAGCATGCTTAGGTGTTTTGCTTTTGCTTTGTTATTACAGAAGCAGTTGGATAACTTATCATTAAAGCACGCTTTCAAAAGAATATAGCAATCAGCTGCTCGGAACTTCCCGAACCTCTGATCTCTCGTTATCTTTTGCCGCAACCTTCTGCAGGAGATGCTCAATCTAGTTCCGTTTTATTTTTCTGTCCAACGTTCTGTTCTCTAATCATTTTGTCAAATTGGTCAGGAATAAAATCAACATAGCCATCGCCTTTTTGTTTAATACATTATTTTCTACTATAATAAATTAAATTTACTTTTCAATATATGAATAATTATAATGCAAAATGCTCAATTGTCTACTTTCAATCACATGTTAAAACTTATTAGGACAATTAAAATTTAACTTTTTCTCTTTTTCTTTGAATTTTCCTACTTTTAAAATATATTTTAATCCTTACGAAGATACGAAAGCCCAACGAAGATTTACTGTTGGAAAATTGAAATTGTGGTAACATTTTGTTTACATTAATAGTTATTATATTACGATTGAATGATAAAAGTTCACCAAACATACCGGTAATTTTATTGAAGAGTAAAACGATGGAATTTTGCTAGAAATTATATCTTGTTTTAAGTCACAAGAAATCTCCATATTTTCGGGATATTTTTTCAAAGATACTTATCGAATTTTTTATTTTGGAGAGTGACAAAAAATGTACTTTCTATAAAACTTGATCTGGGAATTTTTTCATAATGCTTGGAAATAATTCGAGAGTTCCAACTATATGTTAATTAATGAATTCAAACCGATGCAAAAAAAACTAACACCAATCAATCCAATCAGCGAATAAGCAAACGGATTAAAATAAAACGGTTTTCCTCAAATGTCCTTCTGCAATACGACTGTATACGGTTACATCATCGCCAAGAATAACACAAAATAACACTGCGCAGGAATTGCTTATGTCTTGAAATGATGAACTTATAAATGATAGCAATCATTCATAAGATGTCTGGAAAGGAATGGAAGATATGAGAGATGTATCATCAATCTAAAAGAGCATAAGTTATGAACATTATTGTACTGTGTAGTATTTTTGCGCTTTTATTATCCTATTTGTTCACCATAATATCTATATTAACTTCTACAATCGCCCTATTAACTCCACAATGGCAAATAGTGACAATCTCGGAATTTCATACTGAACATCAGCATGGCCTTTGGATGGATTGTATCCTTGGAAAGAAGCATATACAAGGTTGGCGTATTTCTACCACTGTCTATTGTTAACTCATTTCGATGGATTTTTTCATCTATGACTGAAATTATTAATTTCATATGATTTAAAATTAGTATTCAGTGATCGATACGAACAGATTATTTTTAATAGTCTAGAAAAATAAGAGAAAGCTCTATCAAATATATTTGATAATCAGCTTTACCTATTTCCCGTAATCTTATATTTATCATAGTTATAAAAATTAAAAGAGAGATGGTTACTTTGAAATTTTAATTTACAGGTACGTCTGAAAGGAGTCTTCACTGTACATACAAATTTGAAAATGCTCAGAAAAACGATTTACAAAATGATGAAGATAATGAAGAGCAGCATAAACTTCATAGTAAGCATTTAAAATTGGTTGTATTAGAAATTTTGAATTGAAAAAGTTAGTTTCAATTAAATCCAAATTAGTAATTTGCTCGATAAGCTCATAGATAGAAATCAGTTCATCGCTGTATTGTATTATATTTTCTAAGACAAGAAAAATTTGAAGTATTATGTGATTGATGGATTAAAGAGGTGTTTTGTAAGTACATCAAAAGTATCACATGATGAGTTACAGCTTATTGGAGAAATTTATTTTTTATAATAAAGTTATAATTTAGTAATTCATGAATTACTATGTGAATTACAGTAGAAAAGTTACAGAAACCAAAATTCACTTTGATAAGTTAGAACTGTAAAAATTGAGAGGTTATTTGTCATTATCTCCCTATAATTACAACAAAGAATTCGACAATTTCTAAGGCAAATTGATCATTATATTTTAGTAAAAGAAATCCAAAAAAACTCTGATAAAAACATATGATTAGACAGGAAGAGAAAATGCAACATCACCTAAAATAATAAATTAATTGCAATTTCCGGAATAATTTCATTTAAAAAATATGATCATGACAGATCACAGAAATTCATACTTCCGCTAAAATAACGAAGGAAAAAGTAAATTAATGATTGTTTTCAGATATATTTCAGTGATTAATTGTTACAAATGATGTTAAGATGTTGAAATTTGTACTAAATATTTTCCAACATTCTGTTATTATTTTTTGTAACAAATTACAGACTGGCATAAAGCCGTTCTATTCTTATTACTTCTGGCGCTATTGGCAGCTCTTATTATGTGTTGCTTTTTGATGTGTGCATTATATTTTCGTATTGCAGCTCTTGTTTCATGCACATTATCATTATTTGCAAGTAAGTTATTTATGAAATATTACACGGATATCTGTATAATGTCAAGAAACTTTAAGCTATCTTCAAATCAAAAAAGGTACTTTCATGTGTTTGCTGATTAGAAATTAAATTTTCAACTTACCAAACAATCTAACATGCAAATTAATTGAATGGATTAGTATGATAGTTGACATTGTGAACATTTTTCCAGAACATCCATGTTTAGCTATATTGAGTGTATTGTATTAGTTTGATTACTTTCCCGAGAGGTTCTTACTGAGCTCTAAACATCTTTGATGAATTCACGTTTATGTCAGCGTTCTATTATAACTTTCCTAAAATTTTAATTTATTTTTATTCTTCACTCCATTTTATTCGTATTTCAGCGATCTTGTCGAGTGTTGGCATAGTTGTATTCTTTATTAATTCACATAAAGTTGAAATTCGATTTGTGCAAGGTATCACTCGAACATATGAGGTTTGCCTATGAAATTTATTTCTATAAAAAAAATAAATTTTTTTTTTTTAGTTTTAATTATTTTATGATTGAGAAATTAGCTATATAATATTCGTATCATATCATTCTTTAGTTATATAAATTTATAGAAAAATGTTATTAAATTACAGCAAAGGTGTGGCTATTCTTTCTATTTGGCGCTTTCTTCCTGCGTCACTTTTCTAGCAGCATTCCTCTGTTCAGTATTTTGTACGGTAATGGTATTTTTACATGATCGGAATCGACGAGAACCACCGAAAACATATCCATTAATCAATAGTGCCGTGTAGAAAGTGAGCTGAAGTACCATTCTACGATCAAATAGATACCTACTGTCTACCTTTTCACTTCATTCCATGATAACAAGTCATGATAACAAGGAATATACAATAAGTTTGATAAAGAAGTTGCAAAAGAGTAAGTTGCTTAATGTTTTAAGGTTACAGGAACTTTAATTATTCGTTTGATAATTATCGAGCTGAATTAATTGACTTGATCTATTTAAAATTTGTATCGTTCTTCAAAATCTTTTACGTTTCCCTTTTGTCCGTCCATTTTCACTTCGTAATTTTACAAGCGTTGTTAGATTTTCCAACAAAATATTTTAAATTTTCAATAATTTTCTATTACTTTTAGCAAAATTTAATTGTTTTATGATAATCCGAATTCTACTGAAACATTGGGAAATGTTTTATCAATATGATGAATCATTTTCACGGAATGCCTTTATAAGTAAAATATTAGCTTATAAAATCATTTCTCAAAATGCTTTCATTTCGCTGCTATAAATGAAGTATTAAACTGATGCTTAATCGAGAGTGATCATTTCATCATCGATGTAATCACTATAGATTAAATAGATGATTAAGATTCATTTCATTATGATCATTTAACTATATCATATATCATATTTCATAACACTGAAAGTATCGATCACAAAGGTATAATTAGCTGAATCTTTCAATCGTATGATAGTTAAATATAATGAGTTTTGCTTCAGTTCATATATTTTATTGCTTTGAAAATTTTTGATATATAAGAATTCAATATTTGTTGTGTATTATTTGTATAGTTCCAGTTTTCGAATATTTTCACACTTGTTTAATTTTAGAGATTAGCAAATGCCACTCTCCCTCTCTCTCTCTCTCTCCATTTCTCTAATTATGTTATAAGTATGAAAAATTATTCATTGAATGTACTGTATTAATGGAAAAACAGTAAATGAAACTTCATATTTTGAAATTTTCACGAAAGAAAATGCAAATATAATGTTGTCTGAAATGTGATAGTACTAACAAAAATGGTGTGGTAAAAGTATCAGATAAATATTTTAGCATTATTTAAATCTTCTCGAAAAATTGCTTTCAGGCTTAACCAGAACTAAAATCTAATTGTTCAATGTTATATCTCATTTTTCCGGATTCCTAAAACAAACCTTACAAAGGGTGAATAGTTCATTCATGATTCGAAATAGAATAACGGATTAATATATCCCATAAAAAAGCAAAAGAAACGGAAAACTTGAAATTGAAAAATATAGCAAAAGAATTACTGATACACCTATCGACCATGCTACTGATGTTGGGATGGAAAGATTGCATATGGAGTGTTTCTGCTCAAAAGCGCCGTAAGCTTTCGTTGTTGACAGTGTAGCGCTAGGTAGTGGTTGTGTTGTGCGCATTCGGTTGTTAATGTTTTTTGGAGTGTTACGTTGGGACGTTTGAATTAAAATGTATGCGTAAATATGTGACATTAGCGGTTTAATTATGTTATTTTCAGATATGATGTGGATCGTTAATTTGCTTATTTCATTACTCCTGCCGTATCTTTTGTATGCCAAACGACAAGAATCATGCGAAGGTTCGATACCATTAGTGATAATAGAATTATGCAGTAAATCGAAATGTTAAGATATTAGGTTTTATAGCTCTGCAAGTGAAAATCAAAAATGAAGCCATATTATATGGAATATATGATAATAGGGGATTTAATTCGGAATGTTTACGATGTAGCGACATGATTTAAAAAATTAAGATTTGAATTACAACTCGACTTGACATAGTATTTATCTCTGCTAGCTACATTAAAGCTTCACAATTTTGACAGAAAATAGGAAAAGTTTTTTTTACAGTGTGTGAGAAGGTTTTACATGATGTGATCGACAGTATGGAGATGAATGATCGTAGTGATGCAAGTAGGATCGACGAGGCGCTGAGGGAACATTGCGGTGGAATGAAAGGCAAAGAAAACAAATTTGTTCGTTTTGCTTCAATTTAAAATGTTGTATTGCCTGGATTTATCGTACGATTGAATTTTCTTGCCAAGAAATTCTGCAGACTACATTTAGTTTGGTCTCCTATGAATTGTTAACGAAATGCGTCTTTACAATGAAATCTTTAGATTCGGAATTTTTATGTCATCTTCAGATAGAAAATTCTGATTACTTTTAGAATTCGATCCTTTATATTACTCGTTTCAGTGTTTTTATATTGGTGCTTTACCAGAATCTGCCACTTCTATTATGAATGATGTAGTAAAACCATTGTCTTGGTCTATGCCTGTGGAGAAAGTTTGCGAGAAGTTGCGCACTATGGATTCACAGATTTGTGAATTGAAATTCGGTAGCTCTCTTGTGTTTTTTAAGTGAAAGATATGTATTTAAGGATAAGCACTATTTGATATGGTATTTTCTTTTTTGGGAGAGAAAAAGTTGCACACTGAAAAGGATTTTGAATCGATCAGTTTTATGGTGCAAGTATAGGGTGGATCACCTTTGAATATTTTCCAGATAAGAGTATTGATTGGAAAACCGTGGATCTTAAGAAACTAAGAGTTAAAGAATTAAAGAAAATTCTTGAGGACTGGGGCGAGGTATGTTCGATTTTTTTTTCATTTACTATACTAAGTATCATTTTCTTTAAGCGTGAATTGTTTCTTCAAAAAAGTTCTAAAAGCCATTAATCCCTTATTTTCAAGGATATACATCATTGTAAGAAGTTTGTTATTATTTATAATTTCTGAAAATTTTCAGGAATGTAAGGGATGCACAGAAAAATCGGAGTATGTAGCTAGGATTGTAGAAATGAAGCCAAAATATGTGAAAAGTGAACTGTGATATTTTTCTGAATTTAATTTAATTTATTTTGAGATAAAATCTGTTGTTGTCTTCGCTGTTTTTGTTTTGATAAAATAGTTTTATTTAACATATGTCGTATTTTCCTTTGGTTTTTCCATTCTTTATCCTTCAAAAAAAGGTCTTCTTACACAGTTATTTGCACCACGTACGGAAATAGTGTGTAGAGATTTGAAAAGCTTTAACGGACAGGAGCTGCCTATTTTTAAGTGTTGTATAAAATACATCGTTTAATGTTTGGTTGAGAGTGAAATTTTTTTCGGAGCTCTTTTTTTTGTGGTATTTTCTTGACTACTCAGATTAAGAGGCGTTAGGGTAATGGGTCATATGTGTTCTATCCATAGCCTGTGGGATAAAGACATGTGGAGTTGAGAAGACGTTTCGACTGGGAAAGTGCATATTAGATTCTAATACAAAGTAGTGCTGTCATTTCAGAGCTTTTTCATTGTTGAATAGGATCCAATATGGCAGGCGCATTACCACGACGTATTACGAAAGAGACGCAACGTCTAATGGCAGATCCTGTTCCTGGAATTTCGGCTGTGCCAGATGACAATAATGCACGTTATTTCCACGTAATTATTGCTGGACCAGAAGGTAGTCCATTTGCTGGTGGGGTATTCAAGTTGGAACTCTTTCTACCGGAAGAATATCCGATGGCAGCTCCAAAAGTTCGTTTCATGACCAAAATATATCATCCAAATATCGATAAATTGGGACGAATATGTCTTGACATTCTCAAAGGTTTGTATTTGTATGAAATACGTGATGGGTAGTCGATGGTTTTGGGTATCTGTTCGTATGATCAAGTTAATTATTGCCATCGCAGTCACAAGATATTACCCATTCTGATGATAAATAAAAGTAAGAAAAGCGATTGTTTGATTGACTGCGAGAAGAGAATGTGAAGAGAACAGAATATCGGATATGGTTGAAAGAGTACACGAAGCTAGCAGAACCATGCTTGACGGATGATACTATTTTCGCTAATTTGAAATCACTATACTGAAAATATGTTTTGCTGGAATTTTTGAATAATCTGACTGATTAACCAGTTGGCGAATCAAACGTAGCGGTTTAATTTTATCGTCAGCCCCAGGAATTTTACTTAAATAGACCTTATCTTGTTCATGCGTCACAAAGAAGCTGGATCAGATGAAAAGATAATTGTAACTATTTCGTTTGAGGAAATCTTATTTTTGACAAAATTTTTCAGACAAATGGTCTCCAGCGCTCCAAATCCGTACCGTGTTATTATCAATTCAAGCCTTGCTCTCGGCTCCAAATCCGGATGATCCATTAGCAACGGATGTTGCAGAGCAGTGGAAAAGTAACGAAAGTGATGCAATTCGTATAGCGCAGGAATGGACTCGTATCCACGCGAATGGACAGTAGAAAGTTTGGGTGGAACGACAGTGAAATCGTTCCTACTGGATCATAAAGTTCTTGAATGTTTTTTATTTACCAGATAAGATAATAATTTTGGTATAGAGTTTACATGAATTTTAAGCTTGGGACATGTTCTATATGTTTTTATCGTTCCATATGAAAACGCCATCTTTTGGTGCGGTAAAACTAATTTCACTTTCCAGTGTCAAATTTCTAAATTTCATGTTTTTAACGAACAGTTAATGTTTATATTGTTTGCGCAATGTGCTTTACTAGCAACAATTGCAAAACACTTTCATCCGATCCACTGTTCTGGTATTTCAAGAATTGATATTTCCGAAGTATTGTGTATTTTAATTCTTAGTCGATCTATTTCGAGGCCGGTATTATAAGTGAACTTCTGATTGATTGTGTTGCTCGTGATATTTTTCAGCTGGTGGGGTTGGATTGAATTTCTTTCGAAAAAATTCATCCGAGGAATTTTTGTGAGTAAGGCGCCGAACATTAATCGCGTTTAACATATAGATTTATTAGAATCAGAATCTAGGGCCCCTATCACTATTTTTTCTAGGATGTGATAATCATGTACTGCCATAACGGCATATAGTCGTTATAACTTAGAGTAGTTGAATGATTAACTATCTATGATAGGTGTTCCTTTTAATTAGATACTGGGATCTACTGATTTTAGAATTCAGTCACAAGTGCTATCTAGTTCACCGCAGAGTGCCTTTCCGGTACAGTGGGATTCATCATTAAAGAAGTAAGGAATTTGAATTGTACACTAAAGCATTAGTCAATTTATACATTTCTTGTTCTTTTCATCAGTCGTTTCCTCTCTACTTGTTTATGTAATTGAGATTGTGTTTGTTTGATATGTTCCAATTTTATTAAATTCATATTCATGTGTATCTTATCCATCTTATAGACCTCTACCGGAGAATCTATAGGATGCAGTCTTATTCCACAATTTTTTTACTCCATCGTTGTGTTCGCTCTGAGTATTAAATTTGTTTCTGTTTCTTCAAAAAAAAGCGTTGTATACTTGTTGACGATGGCGTCGCAAATGTTTTAAGGTTACAATGTTTGCATCTTTATGAGCATTTGTATTTTTTCTGATTTTGAATAAGATAGTTGGTTGGCTTCGTTGAGCTGTTGACTGCGTTGTGGTTCATTCAAACTGTTTCTTCCTGTTTATTAATTCAATATCATTAGATTGTTTTTGAGGAGTGTTTTGTTTGTGCATGCATGTATGTATCTGTACGTGCGTGTGCGTGTTGGTAAATGATTATTTGATTTTCAGGTAAATGACACTTCAGTGGTTCGTTGTGGCATTAATTTTATATCTGGAAATAGCCGTTGTACTTCTGTTACTCTTACCTTGGATCCGTCCAACATTGTGAGTTATTTTAAAAAGAAATTCTTAGTCATTATCACTTATTTTCTAAAATAAAGAAACTGCGTAGATAACATCTTCGCAACTCTTTTTTTACAGATGGAATAAATTCTTCAAAAGTCGCATCGTGAAAACATTTGAAAAACATGCAAATGTTTACTTCATTTCTGCTCTCTGTATCCTTTTGCTTCTTTTTGCAGGTTTGGGTTTTTTTCCTTTTTTGTTTATATTTTGGAGTCTTTCAGACAGTTTAGATTTACACTCTTTTTATGGAAAGTTGGATGTTTTCGTGTAAATAATTTCTTCCACTGATTTTATAATATGAAAAATTATTTTAGATGCTATTCGAGAAGTGCGGAAATATGCAGGTGAAGTAGCAATAGAGGCTTCGATTCGTCATACTGCAGATTCTGAAAATGCTGTTCACATGAGACTTTTCCGTGCTCAACGAAATCTCTATATTTCTGGATTTGCACTCTTGCTTTTTTTGTTTGTTTATTTTAAAAGTTTTATTTGAAGAAATGTGAAAATATTTTTTTGAATAGTTTTCAAAAACAGTAATGGAGGTTGGTATCATTTGCTCTTGAAGGCTTAAAATAGTTTCTCTCTATACGAAAATAGTTAACCTAGAACTGATCCCTTTCTCTTTTTGAAGATTTTTTCTTTTTTTAGAGTTATCAAGCGGATAGTTGCACTTCTTTCTCGTGGAGCATTGCTTGAAGCTGCTGCTGAAGCTGCAATGAAGCAAGCTGAAGGTGCAAGCAAAGCAGCAAAATCTTACATGGTACAAATAACTGCCGTACATAGAAATTGGCAATTCTCTTTATTGGGTAGACTGTGTGAGTATATTGATACTGCCCGTTTATTCGACACTCATATCAGTTATATCAGCCAACGCAGTTGCTGACATTGTCGAATACCATAAGGATCCTGTTGCATGTTCATTTTAAACGACAAAAAAATAACCTTACTCCCTCTTTCTGCCCCCAATTCTCGTTCTTCAATCTTTTATTGAAGGAAAGAATAATTTAGCATCACCAGCTGAAATCATTTCTTTTAGCATGACGATAACGGAAGAGAAAAGGAACTGGAGCGACAGGTTCAAGAGCTCGGTAAAGGTATTGTTTATCTACTTCTTGCATTCGAATGAGAATATTCAGCAGTTCGGTGAACTTCTTATTTGGGTCCTGGGTGTTATGCTTAGTCCCTGTTAAACTTCGTCATGTTTGAACTTCTGAATAGCTGCTGACAATAGTCTATCACACCATTTCCTTTAACCTACCGCTAATAATGTGATTATTATGTGTTTCAAATTTGAATTGTTTTAAAGAACTGAAATCAGCACAATTGGACAAAGATGCTATGAAGGAGCAAGCGGAGGGTCTTCAACGAGAATATGATCGTGTTTGTGGTTTGCTTAAGCGAGCTGAGGTAAGTTTTTTAGTTTCTCTAGATAGCAATGGCTAATTCTGTTTTAAAAGAAAAAACAGGAATGTTGGAACACTGTCACTTTAACCTGCCATTAATAACGTGATTGTTATTGAATGTTGGAACCGTTTATTTAATTGAAGTATCTAAACTCTATGCTGTTAACCCCTTTGGATTCTAATTTCTTTGCTGTTCTTTCGATGAACTTTTTTGTGCAGTTTTTTGGTCCTCGTAAAAGTTAGCGAAGAGCGGAAATTGCAGAAAACAGATTTTCCGAGTCATACAATGTTTTTCAGAAAGCGAGTGGAGACAAGAAGGAAGATTGATGTTGTGCATTTGTGAGTAATTGCGTTATGTAGTGTGATGAGCCCATCAAAGCATAACTTTCAATATTTTTCTTCAAAATCACCACTATACTATTTTTAGAACTAGTAACATCAAATCTTGTTTAAATCCTTATCAGTTCATTCATGTTTAGAATTATAACTGAAAGGTATGCTTAAGATCGGTGGTTCTCTCCACTTGGTCCATTTAGTTGTTGTTTTCATTGAGCAAAAGTTTCTCGCACGCACCTTTTTGGTGTGTCTTTTCATTTATTATGCTTACTTGAGTTTAAAGACGAGTTTGTTATGGTACGCGAATTTTCATTATGGCGAAAGTCTCAAGGCTTCATTCAGATGTTCGATGTTAATTTGTCATTTCAATTGCTTGCTTGTTTCCTTTCGGTATCATGTCTTTTAACATACTGTATATTATGATTTATGTAAAT